CCGAAGGGCAGACTTACAGTTCAGCTTACAGACTCCGTTAAATGAGCTTATATATTTATTTACAACATGAGCATAACACAAGCACGTGTTCAAAATTCTATTACAACGAGACCGACAGAAAACACAATAAACAAAGTAAAATCCCCTCTCGTTAGCTGCTTGTACTAAAATATCTTGATTTATGACATTCTAACATGTGTTCTAATCTCACTTAGATGCCTAGTGGGTTCTGTTATTCAATTTTTCATTACTGCTAGGCTGTTAGAGCGTTGGCCGCCGGTAAAGACCTTCTCTGATACGCGGGGTCAAATCCCGCCGAACTCCTCGAGGTTTTCACAATTGGGTCAACTCAAATTAAGCAAATCTGCCAAACCTCCTAATAATTACTGCTCTCTGTTTCCATCGACCCTATCTAAATTAAATTTTGCTGGATCTGACCAGTGTGCCTTTTTTATCTTCTGCACTTAATGCGTCATTGCATTTCTGATCTCCTGTATTGGATGGCCAACACCAACTGTCCGTCCTGATCTGATCTGTCTTGCCAAACAACTGATCTCAGTAAATAGCAAAAACAGTCTAGTCTGAGAGGTCTTCCCGAAGCTAGGTCAATCTCTACTGACTTAATGTGGTACTCCCATTCCTAGCACACTACCTTACGTATAAAGAAACAGAAATCCAGGAGCTAGGATTAAGCCTGTCTCCACAATAGATGTGGATGTCATGTAAACATCTATATTTTTGAGTAGTCTGTTAATTTATCCCCTGGTTTCAGTGCATGGAGCCATTTTTGCTAAACATTTTGGATGCCGCCTTCAAAATAAAGCGTATTTTGTTCCTCTCTCTCATTAGCATGCGAAGACAAGCATAAGGATTACGGTGCTGACTACTAAATTGCCTTTACTGCTTTTGAGAATAATTGTATCTTGATCTTTCCCTAGTTTTCATTTTTGATATGCTGCTTTTCTATACGACCTGCTTCCGTTTTGTTTCCAAAAAATGTAGTTTTGTCTTCATCGTTTTTTTGATAGTGTTTAAATAGATTTCAGTTTGCCAGTTATCCGTTATTGGGCTAGTCAGCCAATTTCGTTTTTTCCTGTTTTTTTTTTAAATTACATGCTCAAATTTTCACTGGCCATTATCGTACTCAGCCAATAAAATGGCCTAAATGCGACACTTGGCATTTCTTTTTCTCGTAGTATGCTGTCCACCGCTTCCGTTATCCCTTATTACCGCCATTCTCGTACTACAGGCGACCTCACTTCTCATTTTATGAATGGGGATACATATAATACCGTCGTCCCGTAACCCACGCTATCCATCCGGCCCACTGCATTTTCACCGCTCCGGTAACGGAGTCGTGAAGGTAATGACAACGGGAAGAAATTCATCAGAAACGTAAACAAGTTTGTTCCCATGCCAACAACGCCTCTTCGTAGACAGTGACTCAGGAAGTAGAACTGGGCTTTAAAAACCGCAGAAGGTGAAGTGGTGTATGTCTGAGCTGGCGATCTAGCTATTACATGCCAATTAATTCACCTCGATCTTGTGACCTCCTTTCTAC